GGAGTCTCTTTTTCTCCTTTTTCTATTTTTGAAGTTATTGGGTTAATGTTGAAAGAGATTGGCACTACCACACTAGGATAGTGGGGTTGGATACTGGAGAAATGACATAGAAGACATGAGGATCTATTTTTCTTTTTTTCCTTTTTCTTTCTACAAAATTCAATTGTAAACTTTGAAATGGGTGGATTTTAAATAATAATAAATAGTTAATTTGTTAAAATTGATCATGAATTATATAGATTATATTTGCACTTCTAAAACAACTCATTATTATTAGATTTTTTTATTTTTTGTATTTTTAAAAATTAAAAATACAATATGTAAAATTTTAATAAAAATTGAGAAATTATTTTTTTTTCAAATCCCAAGGGGACCATCGCCCTTGGTCTTCATGTAGCTCCGTCCCTATGAATCTAACTGAGAGTACGGTGATCGTGATCCATTTTCCATGAACAAAAAAATCTCAACTCGTATTCTCCTGTTGTGGCCTAGTGATGCCACTGCAGCTTAAAGGACTGCCGGTGGAATGCACCTCGACCAATGGTCAAACCTTACCAAAGAATGAGATACTAATTTCTAACTCCTAACTCTTAACTCCTAACCATTGCACTTGTCCAAAAAAAAAAAAATCTCAACTCGCAGACAAATCATAGAACATCAACTGGCACATGGAATTATGGGGCGGTTTCCACCGAACAATTTTGACTGAGAACTGCGGAATGCTGACTTCCAAGTCCTCCACTGAATGACCAATCCACAGAGACCTTCACTCTTCTTTCTTTATCCCTACCCTACCAATTTGGCAACCACCAGCCTCTGCCTGTGTGTATGGCGTCTGTGAAGAAGCTCACAGCCATGTCCAAATTCTTCTTCTTGGTGGCGGTGGTGCTGCAATGGGGAGGCAGCCATGCCCAACAACCTTACATCAACAACAAGCAGCTGGCCTGCGAGGACCAAAGTGATAACATCACCCAAGGATATTACTGCAACGGCCTCAACAAATCATGCCTCTCCTATATCACCTTCCGCTCCACCACTACATACAACTCAGCCGCCGACATAGGCTACCTCCTCAAGGCCGACGCCACCCTCATCGTCTCCCTCAACAACTTCTCCTCCGAATTCGCCACCATCCCCAGGGACAAGCTGGTGATTGTCCCCGTGAACTGCTCCTGGGCCGACTACTACTACCAGCACAACGCCTCCCACACCATTTCTGAGTCCGACACTTATTTCATCATCTCCAACGACACTTACCAGGGTCTCACCACTTGCCAAGCCATGATGGCTCAGAACCCCTACAACTACAGGAATCTCTCGGTGGGCAGTGACGTGCTCGTTCCCCTACGATGTGCCTGTCCGACTTCTCGCCAGAGCGCTGCCGGTTTCAAGTACTTGATCTCCTATATGGTCACCTGGGGAGATAACTTTTCTGCAATTGCTACGAAATTTGGCGCTGATGAGAAAAGTGTTTTGGAAGCCAACGAGCTCAATGCTAATAATACTATATTTCCATTCACAACCTTCCTCGTTCCCCTTACCGCAGAACCCAAAATCATTGAATCGATGCAGACGTCGTGATAGCCGTCAAACTAGAAACGGGAATTTAGAAAGAAAGAACAAGAGAATTGAGAAGAGATCAGAAGATGATGCAGGAGCATAAAGTGTTTTTTTTTTTAATTATTTGTTTTAGTTTGAGTTTTATTTGGAGTCTAAGTTTGAATTTTAGGGAAGTGATGTGGATAGCATGTGATTTCTAATTAGAACTAGAGTTAGTAGGTTATTAAAAGTTCAAGTTAGTATTGAATTAAGATTTTTGGCTACTGTTAGTATATATAGTTATCTTTAGATCTCTAAATCAGTTTTTGTTATGGTATTTTAGTTTGAGAATAAACTTGAAGTTGCAAACCTAAGTTTTATTGGTTCCATCTTTAATTTTACGGAGTTCTTAATGTCTGTTTGTTCTACCCCTACCTTCCCTACATCAGAAGAGAAACAAAGAGGAGGAAGAAGGAAGACACAGAGAGAGAAGCAAAGTTCAATATTCATTCAATAGATATTACAATTACAGGGCATTGTCTCTTATATACTACTAATGGCTTAACAGACTAACAATCTTCCTTTAACAAACTTTATCAACTCTAACAGCCTTGCCAACTCAGCTCCCATAAATGGACTGTATCATCCGTAGAGGTTAAATATTTTGACAAGAATTGCTTGTATCATGTGCTCATAAACACCAACCAAGAGAACCACTTACCCAAATTCATACCAGGGAAGCACTGATATTCATTATCCAATAAAGTACCAAAAGAAGATGTTGAATCAGCATTTTGTCTAACCAATTCTTTCAGCACTTGTTTAACTATCCAAGCTCCAGCTCCAACCCACTTATCCTGAAACAAAGCTTGCTCTAATGAAAACGCAGCCTCTGCACATTGCCCCTTCTTTGGACTAGTTTCTAACAATTTGCCTTCTTCAAACTTTTCAAACATATGCTCTGGTACACCCAACAAATTTAATGAAATTCATCATTGTATTTGAAATGAAGTGCTCCACCTTTGAAATCCCATAGAACACTTTCAAATGGTTCCAACCATTGAACCCCAAGAATGAGATCATAATCCTTTAGAGGAGACAGTAGCATCTCAGTCTCAAATTGATACCCTTGCATCATCCATTTAAACCTTTCACATTTTCTAGTGCCTGCCTCATGGATTCCATCAGCCATGAAAATCTGGTGGCTCTCAGTTTTTGTTGTTTCAAGCCCAAACTCGGCTACCAATTCTTCATTCAATATATTGTGAGTGCTCCTTGAATCTACCAATATCAAAATTGGTTTGTTATTAACTGAACCTATCACCTTGAAAACATTATAAGTTGTTCTAGCATCTAAAGAATGAATTGAAACCACTGGTTTGGTCTTGTCACTGACAGTAATCTGGTTCAAACTCATTTGCTCATCCAAATTTTCTACTTCTACCGCACCTTCCTCATCAACAGGATATATCTCCAAGTCATACAATTTCTTCTTGGAACATCTATGACCCGCTGTATGTCTCTCATCACACCAAAAGCACAAGCCTTTCTGCTTCCTATCTTCCAGTTTAGCCTCTGATAAAGACCTAGTATTCCTTGGCTTGTCCTTAGCCACAGAAGAGATTATATGGCTGTTTTGAGGAGTAAATGCTGGTGGCTTGGGAAGGTTATATGGTAATTTGGTATTTTGGTTCTGGTATATGTAGGGATAAATGTTTGGAAATGTTTTTTGGGAATTGGGTGGTAAAGGCAGGAGAGGTGGGAGGTTTCTGGACTTCTCGATAATGGAATTGACAGACAATTCCTGATGCTTGGCTATTGCATAAGCCTCAACAATTGACTTTGGATTGTAGCAAGTCACAGAATGCTGTAACTCCTCTTTCGGGCCTCCTACAAACATAAAAACTGCTTGTTTCTCACTACACTTCACTCTAACCCTGATCCTTTCAAAATCCTTTTGATACTCATTCACACTACCTGGTTGGCTCAAGTTTTTCCACAAGATTATGGGGTCTTGCATCTCACCCTCCCCAAACCTCAAACTCATATAAAAAATATAATCCCTCCAATTAGGAAATGTCTTATTGTCTTCCATATAACATTCATGCCAAATGATAGCAGCCCCAGACAAATACATGGAAGCTATTTCTGCTTTCTGTTCATCAGGGACATTAGGAGCCTTAAAGAAACAATTGCATTTATACAACCATCCCCTAAAATTCTCAATACCATCATAGCTAGGAAAATCCACCTTACCAAACTTTGTCAAACTAGTTATAGGATCAGTAGTGTTTGGACTTTCAGGGAATCTTACCATGCAACGGGTCTGATGAGTGCAAATTGGTTGCTGCGTCTGTTCTTCGGAGGTTTGGGCAATCACCGGCAGAGAAATCTTTCCGGTGTTGATTATCTGCATCAACTTTGTGAGTTCCTCCCTCAGAGCATCAGTATTCTTGACTGACGCCTTTAAGGTGTTCTCCATAGACGCTATCTTGGACATGGCATATAGTGCTAAATATTACAAATAGCATGCCTATCTTGGAACAATGATTACATTAACTTATGGAACAATTGGTATGCCATGGAATGGACGCCTTGCTTTTCTCAAGGTAAATCAAAATCAGTTTTTAAAGTTTGCAAAACACATTTTTATGGAATGATTAGTTTGCTCCTATTAATGTACACAAAAAGGTCACAATTCAAAGTATTCTCTACTAAGAACAACAAATCCCACTTTATTAAAAATCATCCTAACACTTAGCGGAATAATAAAAATTACTCTGCTGTTCAGGAAAAAAAAAATCATATATCAAAGATTAAAATTTGAAAGAATCCAACTTTAGAATAGTACCAAAATTTCAACAAACTGAACGTCAAAGTCAATTCAGCATAATAACACAAATTTCCAGAATTGCAGCAGATGGGAAAAATATTGATTGAAGGAAACTCTAAAAAAAATAAAATAAAATAAAAAACGAGATTGATAGCAAACCTTAGAGGTAATAAGATGGCAACCACGGCTGTAGGGAGGGAGAGTAATAGTCTTCTGAACCAACTTGGGTCCGGCAGCAGCCATGGAGTTGGGGGTTTGATCGTCGACGGAAGGGGATGGACGGTAGATCGCCTTGACAGGAAGCGGAGGTCGTGAGGAAAGTAGCGGTGAGCTCTGCATGTCTCGAAAATATCGGTGGCAAAAATCCACCCAACCCCAACCCGTTGATCGTCCATGACCCAATCCGTAAAAAATGGATTAAGATATATATATTTTAACCTATAACTTATAAATAATTTGTAATATCAATTTATACGGATTATTTATCGGATTAAGATCAATTTATGGGTTAATGAGTTTATCGATTTGTTTTATTTTTTATTATTATTTTTTACAATATTATATT